GAGGCGGCGGATGAGGCCGCAAAGAAAGCTGCCAACTACAAGGTCAGTACTCCAGGAGTGTTTGTGGTACGGGACGAGGGGCCAGACCTGGCAGACTGCCTGCCCGATCTGTCCCTTCAGGTTTTAGCTGAAGCCCAAACAAAAGCAGCTCCTGAAGAAATATCCATGTGGGTTCAAAAACGGGCAAAGAAGGATCCAGATACTGGCATCTGGTACGGCCCTGATGGCCGCCCCGCCCTGCCCATGGGGGACCTCTCACGAGCGGCTTTATCTGAGGCACATGGGCTAGCCCATGTGGGTCAGGTACAGATGCTCAGGAATATGTCACAATGGTGGCATCCCTTTAAGACAAGCATGATCCAAGATTATACTAGGTCCTGTCAAATATGTCAGAATTATAACCCATCGCCCTGCTCAGCTGTTTCCCCAGGAAAATTCACACCTGCTGCTTGGCCTGGGGCACATGTTGTGATGGACTTCACAGATATGATTAACAGGTGCGCAGGAAAGCGGTACCTGTTGGTCGTCACTGACACCTTTACGGGATGGCCTGAGGCATATCCTGCTGCAAAAGAGGATGCTGCCTCTGTAATCAAAGCCTTAATTCAGCATTACATCCCAACGCATGGCTTTCCCCAGTTAATAAGGTCTGACAATGGGACGCATTTCAGGAACAAACACTTGCAATTGGTAGAAAAACATCTGGGGCTAAAACATAAATTTGGAACGGTCTACCATCCTCAATCCCAGGGCCGAGTTGAAAGGATGAATCAGACCTTGAAAAGTAAACTCTCTAAAATCCTGGCAACGAGTAAATTGAATTGGCTACAGGCATTGCCTATTGCCCTGTTGTCAGCAAGGCACTCTGTTAACCGCATTCACCATTTCTCCCCATACGAGCTGTTAACAGGGAGGCCTATGCCAGGACCAGGAAACAGGGTGGTGCCTTTCACGAAAGACGACTCCCCAACACCCCCAGTGCGGGTGTACTGGGAACAATTGAGAGAAATGTTGTCTAGTTTTTCCCATCAGGTTGAAGGAAGTCTCGACCTCTGCGAGAAGGAGGCCTCGGAGGATCCACCTGCCTGGGTCCGTGTGAAGGTGTTCAAAAGGAAGTGGAACGAGCCCCGCTGGACCGGACCCTTTGAAGTGGTGGCCCGCACTCGCAAAGCTGTTCAACTGAAGGGACACGGGAACAAGTGGTTTCATCTCTCTCATACGAGACCATCTGACCCACCCTCGTAACCACGCTCACGGGTTGGACAGTGACTCACACACACGCTTACACTCGCTCTTAATATGTTGCCTTGGGACAGGGAGCCCTGGCCCACGACCAAAAGAGGGAGAGCCATCCTATGGGCTATCGCTGCAGTTGGTTTGGTCGTGGTCCTGGGAATTTTAACATGGGAAGTGTTAGAAAACACACAGCTAAGAGACAGGGCCAGACTTGTAACACAATCCAGTCTTTGGTCCAATAAGACTGACAGAAATAAAAGATCCATAGGAGAAGGCAGCGTTAGAGACTCCCTACCTACGACTGTGACAGTAAAATGCCCGGTGGGTGCGACAATTACAGCCCACATACCAATGGCAACAATCTTTCCATTATCCTTTCGACCTGACTTCACACTCTACCTGTGTTACACACCGTCAACATGTAAATATGAGAGACATGGAAAAAGCTTTAGAGCATCGGTGGACTGCACCTGTGATGCTTGGGAGTATGTTATATCCAATACAGGTCCTGATTGGGGTTATAATAATGAACACAGATTGAAGGGACGAGTGATTCTGACTACAGACCACTCACAAACAACGGTGCTAGTCACTGTGAAAAATTGTGGGATTGATGTGAATGGGACTTACGTTATTGGACATTATCCAGGAGACATTAGACAATGGATTTCAATTGCCCTACCCGAGGACAAGGAGCTAGACAAGGAGGCCATAGATAGTGAAGTATGGCAAGACAAACAAAACGTACAGGTGACTGCTGACTGGACTGTTTCTGAATTGTTAAAACAAGCAACTGGATATGGGGATAGAAACGCTTGGTTGTGGACAGTGGAGCACATGTCAGCGGCTGCTGGCTTTGACGATTGTGTTGTGTGTTCCACTGCACGTCCCACTTTGTATACAGCCCCGGCTCCACTTTTCCCAGAAGATGTAGATGGTTATAATTGTATGATAAAGTTGTTTTGGCAAGAAAAGGACCTGACTGAGGAGACAAAGACAGTCCCTAGCAACTGTTCAATGTTTGAAGTATTGTTTCCAGAATTGGATTCAGAAATTCAGCCCCCTATGTTTTCCCACAGGAAAAGCAATTACACCTGTTTCCACTCACTCAATGGAGGGACGAGGCCGCGTCTCCAGTGGGGGTTCCTTCCAGCAGACTGGTGTGTCAACAACGTCACCCTGCCCAGTCCGGTCCCCATGACCCGGACCAGAGGTGATTTGTATTGGTTGTGTGGAGATTTAAAACTTAGACATAGACTAATAAAAAATTTTACAGGCAGTTGTGCAATGGTGCGATTAATGATGCCCATTTCCATAATTGGCCATAAGCCATCCCTAGACAGTCCCCACCCACAGCATAGATTTAAAAGGGCAATCCCATTCCTAGATACTGGGAAAGATAATCCAACTTACATGGACTCTATAGGTGTTCCACGTGGAGTCCCTCATGAATTCAAACTGGTAGATCAAGTTGCAACAGGTTTCGAAAATCTTCCAATAATTTCCGCTATTTTCCCTATCACGCCAAACAAAAATGTAGATAGAATTAATTTCATTTGGTATACTATGCTTAGGCTTGCCAATCACACCAGGGCGCAATAGAGGGATTGGCGGAGCAGCTGGGGGCCACCTCTCTGGTAGCATTTCAAAACAGAGTGGCTCTAGACATGCTCTTAGCAGAGAGAGGTGGGGTCTGCAGTTTATTTGGTACAGAATGTTGTGTATACATTCCAAATAACACACATCCAGATGGATCAGTTTCCAGGGCTCTGGCTGGTCTCAAAATGCTGTCAGAGCAAATGCATGACGTTTCTGGAGTCCCGGAGAACCCACTGGAGGCGTGGCTGGACAGCATCTTGGGGAAGTGGAAGCATGTAATTTTGTCTGTTATCACAAGCCTTGCGGCCATCTTTGCAATAATAATGGTTGTAGGATGCTGCTGTATACCTTGTATACGTTCTCTTTGTGTTAAAGCTATAGACACCGCTGTTAACCCTGGACTGAGAGGTCAAATGCTTGCATTGGTTGAGGATTCCCCCGTCCCGTCGCCTGAGGAAGGTTATTGAAATGTGTGGCCTTTTTTTAATAGCGGCCAAAAGAGGGGACTGTTGTATTAAATATAGGCTAAAAGGCGATGTGAATTAGATTGACCTGAAATTGAACTCTGTCTGTCTCCAAGCAAAAAGAAAGACCTTGTATTGCCCAACTCCCCTTGTCCCATTTTGTCCAAAGTGCATGGGTGAGTTAATGATAGTTAATCTGGGGGGATTCTGCTAATCCTTTCAAGTTGTGAAAGAAGGAGATGGAGTCCAGAATCTGGAGGAGAAGCCTTGAGATCCCTCTGCCTTATCTCAAAGGAACTAATAAATCGATAGAATTAGGGAGGGGTAGTGCGTGAATGATTTCTGTTTAGGTTTGGCGAGACGGAGGAAAAGGCCGGACCTTGGACAGACATCTGCCTGATACGACACGCCCCCTTCTTCATGCACATTTACTTATAATAACCTCATGCTTGTGTTAGTCTAGACCGGACCAGGGACAGGAGTGTGATTTGCGTGGAGCGCCCACCAAAATCATACTTTTATATTTTATATAGAGAATAAGGGATAGTTACTTTTGGTCCGAACAGCTGTTTTAGATTCTTTTTGTATTAGGGAAATAAACCTTTTTGAATTTAACTTCCTGAATCATGGTCATCTTTATAAGGGATTTTGAACACGTCATTTTTTAATACAATACTATACAAAAAGTAACTGTCGTGGTTTTAACAAAGAGAACACGAAGAATAAAAGCTGGGGTACCTAACTTTCAAACCACAACAAAAATGGAACCATGTAATAATATTAATCTAACCTGAAGTATTTTTGGCCTCTGCTCTGTCACAACTTCGGATCATAAGAGTGAGAAAGGAAGGACCACTCAAAGAATCAAATACTGACTCATTTAACTTTTACATGTCATGGGTTAAAATAGGTAATCCAGCTTTAACGTTGCTTACAAATCCTAATAGATTTTATAGATTTAAAAACATTGTAAAAGCAAGTCTTAAATCATGTATTTCCATCTATTCATGTGTGAGGACTGTCAAAGAAAAAATTAAAACTGTTTTCCCACAAATGCATTTTAAAATCCTCATGGTATGTTTGGAAATTGAGTTTGACAATCTGTGTTTCGACAATACTAATATAGAAAATTACTAAAATAGTCAACAATAGGTGATTACAATCTATTTGTTGGGCTAATGAAACACTGTTAAAAAGCAAGAACAAACATATGTATGATTTTAAGCCCTAAAGTGCAGTGGATAGAATAATAATGCATGTCCGTTTGAATTAAAGCTGGGGTACATAAATAATACATGTCATTGGTCCCAACAGAAAGAGTTTTGTAAAAGCATCAAGTGAACAAATCAGACCACAGCATGCAGTCTTCATCTTATTAGAGAACTAAATATGATCCTGGTCCTCGTTCTACAGCCTGACTCCTGGATCTATAGCCTGTCCTCTGAGATAATTGCTGTTGTGATTTAGGGCTATACAAATTAAATTAAACCGAATTGAATGGAGTTTAAACATAGTGTTGGTTCTAAACTAATGATAGAACCAAACTGTTTTGAGATCAAGGAACTAGTTTGATGGATTTGAACTCTTTTTTGGTCTGAAATGTACTGTAGGTACCTCAACTTTAAGCGATCCTCTTCAGAGCTCTTCAATCTAAATTAAAAGTTTTTAAAGAATTTTTCCTGTTCTCTGCGTTTACATTCTCTAAAAAGTTTCTGCGTTTGTGATTTTCCTGCTCAGCTGCTGGTCCTTGTCCAGTTTGTGCACCACTCGAAAAGCGTCCAGGAACTCAGCGAAGTCGATGGATCCGTCCTTGTTAAAGTCGATGCTTCGGGCCAAATCGTCTATCGCTGCGTTGTTTATGTCCACGCCGAGATGAGCGCTGAACAGACGCCACGTTTGACGAAACTCCTCTATCGAGATCAGCCCTGGACACATTAAAATGCAACCGTTATATACATACATATACAACTATCACCGGCGGGTGCACGGTGAAAGATTGGGTGAATATGTTTTACCAGAATGGTCTTTGTCGATAATGTTGAAAATTATCTCAATGTCTGTCCGGTATCTGAAAAGAGTCTCTGCTAAGTTTGGAGTAACCTGAAAAAGCAAAACATACTTATATCAATCAATCAATCAATCTTTATTTATAGGGCGCTTTTCCTGCACAGGGCAACACAAAGCGCCTCACAGTCCACACCACACAATGCACAAATCATCACCATTAAAATACAATTAAAAACACATATGTAATTAAAAAGCATTAAAATCACATAAGTAATTTAAAAACATAAAAATCACACAAGTAATTAAAAACAATAAAATAGTTAAAAACACAAAAAGTTACAACAATAAATAACAAGGTGTGTTAAAAAGATAAAATTCTCTAGTTGTATGCACGGGAAAAAAGAAAAGTCTTTAACATGGATTTGAACATTGACAGAGAGGCAGCCAGTCTCACATCCTCAGGAAGACCGTTCCAGACTCCAGCTGCATAAATCTGAAAAGCAGCCTCCCCCTGTCTAGTCCTGACTCTGGGCACTAACAGGAGTCCCGTCCCTGCGCTCCTCAGAGTCCGGGCTGGTTCATATGGGACTAGCATATCATGGATGTACTTTGGTGCAAGGCCATGGAGAGACTTGTACACCAGGAGAGCTGCTTTAAAGTCTATCCTCTGGGCCACGGGAAGCCAGTGCAGAGACCTGAGGACCGGACTAATGTGGTCGTACTTCCTGGTTCTAGTCAGGACTCGGGCTGCAGCATTTTGAATATACTGCAACTGTCTTACTGCATGTTTGGAGATACCTGTGAGCAGGCCATTGCAGTAATCCAGCCTACTGGAAACAAAAGAATGGATAAGAATCTCCAAGTCTGCCCTGGACACAATATTTTTAATTTTGGCAATATTTTTCAGATGATAAAAAGCTGCTGATGTTACCGATCCAATGTGGCTATTGAAGTTTAAGTCAGAGTCCATAATTACTCCCAGATTTCTGACCTTATTTAAGGGCCTTAGGGAGAGAGACTGAAGGTGACAAATGACGGTCTCTCTTTGTTTCTCGGGACCAAAGACAATCATTTCGGTTTTGTCCGCATTTAGCTGGAGAAAATTGCATTGCATCCACTCACTGATCCGCTGGATACAGCGAAGGAGTGAGTCCACCGGCCCATGCTCTCCTGCAGTCAGTGAGACATAGATCTGAGTGTCATCAGCGTAATTGTGGTAGGACACTTTCATACTTTGAATTAACTGACCTAATGGCAGCATGTAAATATTGAACAGGAGAGGTCCCAGAATCGACCCCTGTGGCACTCCGCAGGTCAGGGCCATATTATCTGAGACATAGTTTCCAATCTCCACACAATACTTCCTTTCTTCTAGATAGGACCTAAACCAGCTTAGGGCGGTACCAGCAACACCAACCCAGTCCTCCAGTCTCTGCATGAGAATCTCATGGTCAACGGTGTCGAAAGCGGCACTCAGATCTAACATGACTAAAACAGAGACTTTTCCTGCATCAGTGTTAAGCCGAATATCATTTGTTACCTTGACTAGAGCGGTCTCAGTACTGTGGTGTGGTCTAAAGCCAGACTGAAACATGTCAAATGAGTCATTAGATATTAAAAATTCAGTAAGTTGTTGGTAGGCAACTTTTTCAAGAATTTTTCCCATGAAAGGCAGATTTGAGATGGGACGGTAATTTTCAAGTACCGCAGCATCCAAACTGCTCTTTTTTAGGAGGGGCCTAATGACTGCCTTTTTCAGGGCCATTGGAAATGTTCCAGATAAAAAAGACATGTTTACTATTTGTGTCAATGAGGGTAATAGACTACACATAACAGACTTCAGAAATCTAGGAGGTAGTACATCCAGACTGCAGGTAGAGGAACTAAGACCTGTGATTATCTTTTTAACAGTTTCATCATTGACAGGTGCAAATTGAGCTAGCTCACAAAGCCTCACTGGATGTTGCATTGTTACTTGTGTTGTAGAGGTGATGGCATTTCTGATACCCTGAACCTTGTCTCTGAAGAACTGTGCAAACTCATTACACCTGGATTTGGAGTAGTGTTCTAATGGCAACTCAACAGGGGGATTCGTTAATCTATTGATTGTTGAAAATAGAACACGCAGATTGTTGCTGCAGCCTTCAATAGTTTCAGAAAAGTATAATTCTCTTGTTCTACGTAGTACTCTGTTAAACTCACACAACTTCTCTTTTAAGAGTCTATAATCACCCTGGAGGTTGGACTTTCTCCACTTTCTCTCTGCTCTCCGGCACTCTTGCTTCTGTGCCCTGACCGGGCCTGCTTTTATCCATGGGGCTTTTTGCTTATTTGTGACCATTTTTACCTTCACAGGGGCAATGGCGTCCAGAACATTCAACACACTAGAGGTGACAGAGTTAAGCAGTTCATCTACAGTAGAACATGATGCGTTCTCAAAATGGATCATTCCCATAAATAGTTCACCCGTGTTTTCATTTAAGTGTCTACTTCTAACAATTTCATATTTAGCGGGTGGTCTGGTAGCAAAACACATGTTAAAAAATACACAGAAATGATCCGACAGAGCAACATCAACTACATTAACTTTTGAAATATTCACCCCTTTCGTGATAAGCAGGTCCAAGGTGTGTCCTCTGCTATGGGTGGGGCCACTCACATGCTGAGTGAGGCCAAAGGATTCAAGTATGGAACTCAGCTCTTTTGCGTATCTGTCATTAACATTATCCACATGAATATTAAAATCGCCTATAATGACTAAACCATCAAAATCTGTGCACACAACTGAAAGCAACTCAGTGAAATGATCAGTGAAACTATGGCATGACTGTGGCGGCTTGTACACAACAATAATAAGAATGGAAGAAGATTTCTTTTGTTCTATTTTAAAAGAAACATACTCAAATGATGAAAATTTCCCAAGAGACACCCTATGGGAGACAATACGATCTTTAAAAACTGCTGCTATGACCCCCCCCCCTTTTATTTTCTCGTGTTTCATATTCAAATTTGAAATTTGGTGGTGAGGCTTCTATTAAAACTGCATCTCCTGTATTATGGTCAAGCCATGTTTCAGTCATAAACATAAAATCAAGATCATACGAACAGATAAAATTATTAATTAAAAATGATTTGTTGCATAGTGATCTGACATTAAGTAGAGCAAGGTTAAAATTAATATCAGTGTCAGTGGGTTTAGTTGATTGATTACAAAGAACTGGAATTAGATTTCCAGAGTTGGACCGTCTAACTGCTGTCCTTCTTTTAAATTTGTGTTTATTCAAGTTAAAACACATTTCTGAGCTGGTGCGAGGAACACACACAGTCTCTATTGGTTTAAAAAGTGAACTCTGTTGTACTTTGTTAAGTTCCAGATGCATAACTGAGTCAGCACAGTTCAGTGGCAGGACTGGTATTACACTGCCAGACGGACAGGGGTCAGTGTTTGCACCACAGTACTCACCCGGTGCTGGTAAGGAAGAGGAGGGGGGTGGTGGGGGCCGAGAAGCCTCAGATGTAAACAGTCACGCCCCCCTCGGGGAGCACTGAACAACATGGCGCAGGAAGTCCGTCAACAAACTGGTGCCGTATCTGGTAATATTTCTTACATTTGTGATTTCTATGGCTGAAAAAAGCAGCAGCAACCAGACCAGAGTGTTGTCATGAGGTGCTAGTCATACAACTTAGAATTAAGCAAGAATTGGCCATAAAAGCACTTAATTCAACCCTTTTATCCATCTATTTCTTCTGCTATATCCGTTGCTGGGTCACGGGTTGTTCCAGGGATCTGCTGTAGCCACTCCTCCAGCTTCGGGGTCACTGCCCCGAGTGCACGATCACCACAGGGAACCTGTGCTCTCTGAGACCTTGGTATTTCTCAAGCTTTACATTTACTTTTTTCCTGATGTTAGCATTGCTTGGAATTGCCACGTCCACCACCACGGCTTTCTTCTGCCCTTTGTCTACCACCACAATGTCAGGTTGGTTCGCCATTATCATTCAGTCTGTCTCCTTTGGAGGAGTTTCCCACTTAGACCTTGGGGTTTCCAGCCCATACTCTGCACAGATGTTTCTGTACACTATGCCAGCCACTTGGTTATGGCGTTCCATGTAGGCCTTCCCTGCAGCATCTTGCACCCTGCAGTTATGTGTTGGATCGTCTCAGGTGCCTCTTTGCACAACCGACACCTTGGGTCTTGTCTGGTGTGGTATATCTGGGCCTCTATCGCTCTGGTGCTCAGGGCCTGCTCCTGTGCAGCCATGATGAGTGCCTCTGTGCTGTCCTGTAGGCCAGCCCTTTCTAGCCATTGGTAGGACTTCTTGAGACCAGCCACTTATGCTATATTCCGGTGGTACATGCCGTGTTGGGGCTTGTTTTCCCATGATGGACCCTACCTCCTCATCTCACTAAATATCTCCATATGTTCATAAAATGTGGCAGCTTGATAACTACACTTGCATGAGTGCATTAGCTACCAAAAGGATGCTACTGGAACATTTGTGTTTGGTTTAGTCTTTACCTGAGCCAGCTGTGTCCCAGAGCCCATATCCTCAAAACATGAGCCGTACTCCACAGCGCCCTCTGCTGTCACACGCACCAAGTGAGGCCTGAGTGTTCTCCAGGGCAGGTCCAGCCTCAGCGTGGACTCCAGCACATGGGCCCACTCGCTCACAGAGACACACCCTGAAACAACCACTTCCAGTTTGACATTGTTCAAAGTGTGCGTCATCCTGTTTGTATCCTGTTTATTTAGGTGTTTATTAAAACTTGTATTGTGTTGTAATTTCTAATGAAATGTGCACATGATGAAAATGAAATGATGTATGAATGGTGTTTTATAAATACATTGGTCTTGTCTCACCTTTGAGATTGTGATCAAACTCTTTAAAAGCCGCCATTAACTCAGAACGATGAGTAAACAGCTTTTCTTTCAAGGCCCTGAGCGCTGAACTCTCCACAACACGCACTCTGAGGAAACAGTATTTTGTGATGTTAAATAAATGAAACAACAAAAAAAGATTTATAAAAACGTGTTATTTCCATACCTCTGAGTGAGCGTGAGTTTGCGAGTGCTGCGTCCGACTTGATACTGGTAAAAGCGAGGGACTAGATCTTTCCCCATTTTGATGTAAGCTCCTCGGTTACTTCCTTCTTCATAATAGTTTGATGCAGAAAATATGGTTATGACCTGTTCAATAAGTGGACATGTTACTGTACGACAGAAGTGAATCTGTGTCAAAACAACATTTAGAACAAGAAAACTAAATCAACAAAAAGAAACAGATTGGGAAAATAAAATCACTATATTTTTCTCACACAATAATAATTCTACAGTACTTTTTATGTTACTAAACATGGGGGGGGGCAGCGTTTCACATTTATGCAGCTAAAATCAGTCTTCCTGAAAATGTGAGACAGGCTTTTACTCTGACACTGTTCAAATTGAGGTAAAAACTGTGCTGTTTAGCTGTGCATACAACTTTAGGATTGTATCTTCACTCTGTTTAATGCACTGTGATTATTTATGACTATAATGATTGTGTGATTGTTTTTATCTTGTTTTGTTAAGCCCTTTGAGTTGCCTTTTGTATGAACTGTGCTATTCAAATAAACTTGTCTTCCCTAATAATCCTTCTATGACCCACCCAAAAAAAAAGTTTTAACATATGGAGACATTGTGGGCAAACAGATAAAGCTGGTCATCAAATGAAGAACAAGGAGAGTTGTAATTTTTTTTAGTGTGCTTTCAAGTATCTTCATCATTAAAATTATATTCACTTCTGAACTTCACTAAATGAATTTATTATTAAAGCAATTGTTTGTTCCTTGAGCTAGTTGAGCTCGCTCAGGCATCTGTTTGGGATGTCTCCTGGACGTCCCCCTGGAGGTCTTCCAGGTTCTGGGAAGAGACCAGGAGCAGACCTGGTGGAGGGACTAAAGCTCTGTTTACACCAGCCCTCCTTGACTCTACTCTATCTGGATGTGTTTCTATTGGACTTGAACCGTAGCGTAGCAACCTGCCCACAACCGACGAGTAAACCAGAAATGTGTCCAAGCATCACTCTGGCCAATCACTGTTAGTAAGAACTCTTTAGTACCAGCTCGGCCTGGATTGAACCAGGGCCAAGAGGGATTAAAGAAGGTATCAGGTAAACAGGGCCTATGTCTCTCAGTTGGCCTGGAAACACCTTGGGATTCCCACCGGATTAGCTGAAGGTTCTGCTCAGACTGCTGCCCCCGCAACCCGGCAACGGCTGAAGTGAAAGAAAATGGATGAATGGCATTTGACCCATTCCTTAAACGTCAACAAACGTTCGGAGGTGCACGACTCCATGGAAATAAAACGTTTAGTAAGTAAGTAAGTAAGTAAGCTTTATTTATATACCGCCTTTCACAGACCAGAGTCACAAAGCGGTTTACAATTGTTATTTTTTGGGCACTTGTCCTCTCACTCCACACAGAGATGGGAGCGGGGTCGCCGAGCAGGAGGCGCATGCCAGACCTATTGTACATATTTTTAGTGGTAGGGGAAACCGGAGTACCCGGAGGAAACCTACGCAGGCACGGGGAGAACATGCAAACTCCACTCAGAAAGGCCCTGGTCCGGCCGGGATTCGAACCCAGGACCTTCTTGCTGAGAGGCGAGAGTGCTATCCACTCAGCCACCGTGCCGCCGTTTGTATGGATCAAAGTAAAAAAAATATATTACATCTTTTTTATATTTGGCTCAAAAGTTACATAGACGGGCTTTAATTTTCTGAATTTTTTACAGCTTTCATACCCGTCCTCCGTGGCAGAGCTCGTACCCCTCCTGTTTGCACTCATGAGAGCGGATGAGCAGCTTCAGTCCGTGTTGGAGCATCAGTCTCTCAGTCACGTCTGGACCAAAGTAACAGCCTCCTCCTCTGAACAAGTTTGGAAAGCAGCCATCTTGGTTTTTAGGATCGCTCCACAAAATATCAATTACCTACAATAAAGAGCCAGGAAGAATAAAAAACATAATATTGGTATAGTTAGATATAGTCACTCATTGTAATACTCTACAGAGGAAAACATATCCAGACTTGACAACGAGAAACATAGAAACCCAGAACACCAAAAGTTGGCTCAACATTTTTACAAGTAACATTATTTGTAATGCTGGGATGAATGCTCCCTCTCCATGAAGGACCACCACTGTGTCCTGGTTGACCCCCCTGACTGACCAATCGAGTGCAAAATATGATACACAGTATGGGGGTGTCTCTCACTGTGGTCTCTTTGTCTATGGACCTTCTCGCTAACAATACCATACTGTAGAAGACTGCTTCTGGTGGTGAGGACCAGAGCCTTTCTCTCTCTCCACCATGTGTCCATGTGTGTATGTACGTATGGTTTTGTTTTCTGTTGTCTTTGTATCTTCTCTGTATCATTAGGCCTTAATATCTGGCATCTATTTATTTTTTTAACCTACCCACGACTCCCCAGAACCAAAGGAAATTCCTTGCTATACCATGGCTTCCAGCAGCACTCAGGGCAATCTCTGGCAGTTAGGACCAGCTCGGCTTGGATGGAACCAGTTGAGAAGAGTAAAGCCTAGTTTATACTCGCACGGCGCAGAGCTCACGGAGGTGACGTGACGTCACTTGCGCAATGCGTTGGTCACCGCTAGGCCCTTACGTTGCCTGCCCTGCAGCATCGAAATTTTCTAACTACGTAAGGGTCGCCGCAAGGAATCTCCGCTGTGATTGGTCCGTGTGTGTGTATTGGAAGGAAGCATGAAGCGGCTGCAGCAGGAGCATGGAGGAGGCACTATGGAGCAGAGAGCTTTGTGCTTCAAAGCAAACGAAGGAAAAGCAGTTTGGGCTCAGAGCCTGATATACAGGAGACTGTGGACTATCTAACATATATATAACTTATATCTAACATATATATAACATATATATAACTTATAAACTGTGCAGTCGTTTGTTTTGCACTGTTCCTGTCTTTGTTTGAATCGTAGCTGCGTTTGTTGCTTTCCTTCTGCACTCGTAAATCGTTCCTGTTTGTCTCAGATCTTTACCACTATTATTGTTTTGCTGTTTGTGCTGAAAACTATTTAATAATAACTATGTTTCCAACAAGAACTGTGTCTTTATTCACAGCATCACAGTTGAAATGACTTATAAAATAATGAATCCATAAAACTATCACATAAACCTACAGTAGAAACACGTGTAATGAGCTCAAACAGCTTTGTTTGTTATTGTTGTTCTGAAGAGGACAAAGTAGCAGCGTAAATGGGGCCGCTCCTGTGTGATCGCCCTCATGTGGTTTGTTGTGGGATTACAACATTCTCCTCAAAACTCCGTAAGGGGAACGCGCCAAATATAACATCAATTGTGCTTACGTAGGTCCACCGCAACCACTAACGTAAGCCACGCCGCGCAAGTAGGGCTGGTTTAATCAAGGTTTTAGTATAAGAAATATGCGAGCCTGGGTGTTTGGTCAGTGCGAATGAACCTTAGTAAGTTAGTTTGATTCTCTTGATTCTTGTGGTAGCGACTGACCTGCTTCCACTCTCGTTCATGTTGAGGAGGAGTAGGAGGCGGCAGTGATGACAAAGAGTCCAGGAAGGGCACCTGAAGTGAGTGCAGGGTGAAGTGCATGCTGGGAGACCGGGGGTGTGGAGAGAGACAGGAGGGGCTTCGGGGCGAGCAGAGCGGGGACATGGAGGAAGAGGAGGAGGAGGAGGAAGAGCAGGACACAGCACTGTCCTGGTGCGGGGGTGGTCCACGCCTCCGTCTGCTTCAGAGACGACCCAACAAGAAATAAAGTAAAAAGGTTTTATCTGAACAGAGAGATTCTCATTGATTAGGCTTTATTTCATCATGTGTAGGACCGGTCCACCTTCCTGCAGCTCTCTCCTCTTGATTTTAAGTATTAGAGCTGAATTAATGATTGAGACATGAATAAGACATTTAGTGTAGGACAATGGAACAGTTTTTATATAATTATCCTTATTCAAAATGAAAAATAGCACTTTCACTTGAATGTTTTTCCTCAACTCTTTTTAGAGCATCCTCTTTTTTCTAAATTACAGGTTTGATTTCCTTCTGTGCTTTGACTATCTGCATGAATTAGACACAAATTATCTTGATCAAGTCAGAAATTGTGGTCTCTCTTTTTCCATCACTGTACAATTCATTGCTTTTTCGAAGCAAGAATCGTGTTGTCTCAGTCTTCTGTTTTTTACTTCTTATTTTAAGTCCCAATGATCTCAAATCAACATTAAAATGACCTTTCATTTACAATCATGTCTTGCGGTGCACTTATTTACAGTCTACGGTGCTGGCCAGTTTGATTTGTGAAAAAGCACACTCTGAGCATTTGTGGATGAGATGTTTGCTCTGACCTTTGATTGGGAGTTCTTTGGTTTCTGCTGTTGGGGCGAGATCCGTCGGGTCTCAGTCTGGTTTGTCTGCAGTTTTGTGCTAGGTCCAGTGTCTCAAAACTCTGTCGGGGCAAACGCAGCGCAGACTTCACCTGCACAAAGACAGTTGTGGAAGGAACATGATCATCGGAACTTTTCATGACCCATTTTTTTAGCATTTGGTTTGAAATCATCAAAAAAGGGATTTCAAATGTTCAAGCTAAGATGGGCAAGGCCTGGTTAGTACCTCTGGTAATGTGAAGCGTCTCTGGACATCCAAAAAAGAGCTTTAAAAAAGTATTTTCACTAAAATAATTGTTCCCGAAGTACTTTATAAATTAACTTAAAAACTGGGGTCCCAAAGCAATAAAATCCATCAAACTAATTCCTCACCTTCAAAGCAGTTTAGTTATTTCAGTTTTTGAATGCATGTGTTTTTGGCCCGTCACATCATTACAGACATGCAGGTTTCAGCCCAAAGCATCTCGCAGTGTATGCACATGTCTGCAAACAATGACATATGTTCTAATAAGAGAAAGATGGCGTGTTGTGGTATAAACATAGTACTCCTTCTGTTAGGACAAACCAAATATAACAAAATTACGTAATTTGCATAAAAAAACAACATTTTTCATTTTTATCCTTTTCCCCAACTATCTTTTCCTTGCTAAGCAAATCCTAAACAAGGATAGTATAAAACTAAACCACCAAAGAAAAATAATGCCCAAAACACCAAGAACAATGGGCCTCATTCACGAATAACTTCGTAAGAAACTACTCAACTTTCTTCTCAAGTTGTCCTTAAGTAGATTTCTAAGAAGTCCCCACGTGGGATTCATCAACGCACTCGTAAGCCGCTGAATTGTTCGCAGCTGTTCTCTCAGATTGATGAATCCCATTTCCTCGTAAGTAGAGCGCGCGTGCCAGGTGCTTCATTAGCATAGGTACTTAGCATAAGTAACCGCCCACTAATGCCCATATAAGGGACTGCAGGGCCGTGTGCAGACGGCAGAGGAAACAGCAACAGGCCTTTACACGGAGCAAAAGTCACCCTTTTTTCTTCTTTTACCAGACTGAGAATAAAGTTATAAAATGTTGACTTAAAAGTCGAAATATTATGCTAATAAAGTCGAACTAGCAAAATTATGAGATTAATCTAAGAATATGATGAGATTAATCTCAAAATGTTATGAGCTTAATTTAAAAATATATTATGTATTATTTTAAAGATGAATCTCAAAATGTTTTGAGATTAATCTCAAAATATTTTGGACCCTGGGAGGAGATCCAGCGCGGACCAGCGCTGAGACCAATGCAGACCCGAGGAGAGACTGGAGTGACCAGCACACAGAAACCAGCGCTGACCTATAGGAGAGACCGCATAGACTGGAGTGACCTGACTGGAGAGACCGCATAGACTGTAGTGACCTGACTGGAGAGACCGGTGCGCAGAGACCAGCGCGGACCGAAGAGAGACCGCATAGACCAGACTTGAGAGACCAGCGCGGATCCGTATGGAGAGACCAGTGCAGACCCGTATAGATCCATGGGAGAGACCAGTGCAGACCCGTATATGGGAGACACCAGCGCAGACCCGTATAGATCCATAGGAGAGACCAGTGCAGACCCGTATAGATCCATAGGAGAGACCAGCGCAGAGACTCAGCGCGGACCCAGTAACCTCCTGCAGCAGCAGTATATATGCCGTTGTTCTGTGGCCCGTGGATAAAGAAATGCCCCCTATAAATAGGAAGGGGTCACTAATACACGGCAAGATTTCCAATGTATTTGATAAAGCGTTGGCATATTTCATTTCAAAATGAATTAAAAAGTAGGCCAGATCTGCAGTGAAAAAGGCGGTATATAAATAAAGATTACTAATAAAGATTACTACAAATAAATAAATACATACATCGATATGACGGACATATCACTGGAATGTTGTATTTTTATTCAACTTCACCAAAGAGGACAACCCCCGCATGTGAACATGTCGGCACTGAATGCGTACGAGTGCTCCTGAGGACTCGTAGGATTTGTACTTGCCCAAGAGAAATTCTGGTTACGAGAAATATTCGTGAATGCCACTTTCTTCGTAAAAACCGCGTAAGTAGGATTTACGTACAAATCTGTTCCTAAGAACCGTTCGTGAATGAGGCCCAATATCCCTGCTTTAATAGACCAAAACTCATTATTATTATCAGTAGTTTCTTTCTTCTGGACGTTGAGAGTTGTAAACAGATATCTGTCCTCTAACCTTGTGTCTGTCCAGTGAGCAGAGGAAGTCCAGGTCGGTTTGGTCTGAGATCCCTCCGTGAACGATCAGGATTTTCCCATCGATGATTGCGGCCAGAGGCAACAGGCTGAACACGTCCTGGAACAGCTGCAGGATCTCCCGGCTGTGGGTCTACGAGCCGTTCAAGCAGGAGGATTTATCATACAGCTATCTGTGCATGAAAATATCAAGAATCCATACCTTGTACTTTTGCATGACTTCTCTGGTAAAGCCATATCTGAAAAATCACAACCACATGGGTAATAAGTAACACAAACAACTTTGTCTTATAGTGAAACATATTTCAAACATTTTCTGGGCTCATCTGGGATCTGTACCCTGGACCTCTTCTGAAGTTCCAGGTTGTCAGCCCACTCTGATTGCCCGCCTTGGCTCCACCCACTCTCTCTACACCCGTGGTTCTCATCAGCATCACTCCATGACTGCATTTAAACAGGGCCTATCAGTCCTCGCATCAAGCTTCTGGTTGTGCAGCAACCCACCTCCTCCCCGTCACCGCCTCCACAGTAGAGTATTGTTGTGTTATCGACTCAGCTTCCTTTGCCACCAGGGCTTAGACCTTGAGGGATTTGTATTATCTTAATCTCTATTAAATTCCCTCCTCCAGATGTCGTCCAATATTTCTGCTGGGTTTTAATGGCCAATTCTCATTCAGATTGGGTGTGCTGGGTCTAAATGTCTAACCATGCAACTACAATATATCCATAGAAAAATGCTAAACATATCATTCTAATGAAATCTTTGTCTTGGGGTATTTCCAGATTGAATCAGTGCGATTGTCCCCTCAACCATAATCTCAAACATGAACAAAATAAGTTGTCTATCACAAAGAAATATCTAAATAAAATAGTGAATAGTCCAACCAAGTTTTTCATTTTCCCACTCAATTTCAAGCTTCTACATTGTAATCACATGAGTAACATATTTTTATATCGACAAATGGTGAATTCTGTTAAGTATTGCTTATGTGTATGTATGTACTGTATAGATCTATGCTTGTGAATGTGTATACTATATGCACAGCAGGGGAAAATTTGCTCAGTCATTCAACTCAAAAAAAGTGAGAAAATATGAACCTGAGGTTCATGATGTGGTCCTCGTGGTTCCCGCGGTTCAGATGCATGTAATCCGGGTACAGCAGGAAATAGGCAAACAGCAGGACGACCACTTCAATGGACTTTTTACCACGATCCACAAAGTCCCCGTTAAACACGTAAGGAGTCTCTGCAGAGGGAAGCCCGTTCTGTGACATAAAATAACATTAAGGGCAAGTTTTTTGTATAGCACATTTCATACTCGTGGCAACTCAAAGTGCTCAACAAAACAAGATAAAAACATTATAATCACACAAGGCCCTTATAAATCATACATGATCACAGTACATTCAAAAGGGTGAAGATACAACCCATAAACTGAAAGAGGCACAATAAAAAGATGGATTTACCTTATAAAATATGAGAAGTAGGTCATCAAGGTGACCGTGCAAATCACCTTGAAAAGTAGAACAGACTATTCACAAAAATGTTATCGTCTTCCATTAGAACAGTAGAGAACAATATTGTACACATGTGTTCATGTTGCAGTTTGTATCATACTACATTTACTTTATCATGCCCATGGCTGATATAAAATAGAAACACCCCCGGAGCCTCCAGAGAGAGGGCACTCACCACATATGGTGATGTCTTTTGTGTAGGACGTGGACAGGGGGACAATGTTGGGCATCTGTCTCAGGAGCTTTTTGGTTTCATACAACAACTGAAGCAGATATTTGGCATGAAGAGTCTATAACAAAGCATCAGACGGATCATTTTAGTCTCTGTGTTTTCAATTCTGATTAACAGATTATCCAAACATATCTGTTTAATGGCCTTTTCAGCATCTAAAGCGGCATATAGTACAGAGTCTACTTCCTCCTCTTGCGCCTCCTCACTAGAGCTAGCGTTGGAACCCATTGAAAAACATACTGTATTGAAATGAAATGTACCTGCTGCTCCTTGAAGGCGTGGAGCAGAGCGTTGGTATCACACACAGACAGGGGGAAGGAGAGCCGGGGGCCAGTGTACGAGTCCGGGACGGCCATGGAGCTGAAGCCGCTCTCTTTGCCCAACCACGGATCCAGCACCGGCTCCAGCAGCTGAGAGATCAGGTCTACACACACAAAAGGAATCAACACAACAGCTCAACTATACATTTACATTGTTATAGTGACAGTCGGAACAAGTGACAATTTTTAAAAAACACAACACAAGAAAAATTTAACACCATTAAACACAATAATTTTTTGCCAAGTATTAATGTTAGAAGCAGGTCTTTGTAGTTGTATGCACCTAAAATGAATATAATAAATAAATAATACAATAAAATAACTTTAATAGAATAACACATTATGAATCTAAAGCATTTGTAAAATTCAAACTTTTTCCATATTTGATAAAAAAAAAAATAATGAAATCCATGCTTCTCTATTATCAAGAGCTCATTACAGAGACATATTCAGCCAGAGAGACCACTCCAACATGCAAATGACGTTCAAGAATCTGAAATGTAAAATGTAAACTATAATTGTATATATTATTCCTCATTAAAAGCATATTATTCCCTGCATAGTAATCTGTGTGCATTGGAAAGCCTTGCCGTGCTGAGCAGGAGGACCGGGGCCGGGGGATTAGCTCAGGGCTTGATGCTTTTTAGTTGAATGAGTGGGTTAATACTCACTCTTAAACCACAGCTGTGCGATACTGTTACCAAGCAACATGGTGCACTCACAATAATGGAAGCGTGACTAACGAAGGACCACGCATACATTATCCGAGTACAACATCCAACAGCAGCCGCACATTCACACAAACCCAAACACAGGCGTAAAATGGTAATAACATACGATACATATGATACTAACGCTAAAAAACATTACATTTAACCTCAGCAAGATTTAGATTGGCAGTAGAATTGTATTTCCCAAGTAGATTAAGTTAAGTTATAGGTATTTAGATGTAAATGTTTCCTATGTGAGATAAATAAAGCAAATCTTATCTTATCTTATCTATCTTTATGTCCATAGCACATTTAACAGACAAAGGTCACACAAAACGCTTCACATTTTTGGTCTACCTGAAATATCCATTCTCTCCACACGGTGAGACAGAACACACTGGTGCATCTTAGCCTCCAACCATCTCGTCCCCCAACTTTCTCCCTACCAGTGACTTTGAAATGTTACAAATTACTAGTTACTTTAAAAAAGAAGTAATTAATTCCATTGCCTAGTTACTGCCTATTAACTGAGTAACATTGCTTTTTCATTACTTTGTGTAGAGAACAGAATCAAGTTTGTATGTTTGCTTTGTTAAAGTCATTTAAATAAAGGTTAACTACAAACAGGTTGCTCAAATCCGACTCAAAAGTAAATGACTACAGTTCGTGGCTTGTATTGTTCAATCCAGCTGCAGTTTGTATTTTGTTTAAAATGTTTCTGAAAGACTGCGACTCTACAATATAAATGGCAACGTCTCTTCAACAACGTACACTGCTACAAGTCTATTTATAATTTTTTTGGTTGTAATTCAGTCAGTGAAAGTAAAAAAGTGTCCCAAAAAAATAAAAAAAGGTTGGAGAATAATTTGGCTGCACTTGTACAACTTGGCACGCATACGGCGGTAGTGCAGAATTAGGCCGGTGTTGCTGCAAACTAAGTAGTTAGGTAGTAATTGTAATTGGTTTTTAGAAGTAAGGGAAACCAGAGGACCCAGAGGTAACTTATGTAGACGCAGAAGGTCTCCAGATATTGGCATGGTCCGGACCAGAGCTGGAGGCTAATATTTACAGTCTATGGCAGGAGGATATTACCAATTGTATATGTTTTTAGTGGTAGGGAAAATAGGAGCACCCAGAGGAAACCTACACAGACACACAGGGAGAACATGCAAACTCCAACCTGTTCTGACCAGCATTCGAACCCAAGCCACCATGGTGCTGCCCAGATGTTGCTGTAAACCATGAATATCCAAACTAAGGCCTGCGGGCCAATTGCTGCCCTTCGTGTCAATGTATGTGGCCCACTGCCTTGCTTTCCCAAAGTAGAGGTTCAGATCATAAACACGTGTTCACAGTGTCATCCAGCCAACTTCCGGACTCTCACCTGGTCCATTTCCATTGAGTTGAGTGAAGTTGTCCATCATGAAACTGAAGAAACTGGAGAGCTACAAATGAAAAAGCATGCGTTAGTGAAAGATGCCAGTGAATATCTGTTAAATGTGTGGTCTGCTCCACACCTGCAGCTGGTCCTGCTCTCCTGCGTATTCAATGGACTGAAAGATGTTCCAGGTGTACCGCCTCCGCATCTCCAGATGAGCCATGTAGCGACGGTACCACTGCTGGATCAGGACCGCGGCCTTCATCGCTGCAGCACAAACCACATGTACATTTTAGTATTTAAAGCTGGGGAACAAAACTTTTTGATTAATAATACATTTTGTTTGTCCCATCCGCAAGAGTCTTCAATCAATCAATCAATCCTTTATTGTCTGACAGATGGAGATGAATTTCTGTCTTGTAAAATACTGTTCACAAATCATACCTGTTTGTTTATCATATTAGAAAACATTGTATTTTTTGCATACTAGCCCTACTTGAGCCTACTCTACTCGGCTCTACTCAACCTGGTTGCGTTTCCATTACTCTTCAGTATCTAGTACCAACCTACTCACAACAAACCAGTATCCACGGAAATTCCTTGGCAACCCTGGCTTCCAGCAGCCCTGAAATACTAACATTTATTTTTGATTGTATCACATTAGCACTCATACATGGTACTAATGTAGCTGTGGTGTGAATCCATATATACCTAATCAGACCCCATTTTAAAGCCCAGAACAGTAAAAATTCAAGAGAATCTGAGAACATTTGCAGTATCGATCCTATCATGAACTGGACACAAGTTTCTGAATAATAATAATCCCTGGACTATTGTAATCCGAATAATTAAATTAAATATACTTTGTTTTCTCTAAAACATATGAATGAGCGGCTGTCTTACTCAGAGCCCGGCTGGGATTTCTGCTCGCTTCACCTGAGAAAGAAAAAAGGAAAACGCTTCAGATTTAGAACGTGTTTCTGAGTGAAGAGTGATAACTAGACACAGGGGACAGAGGAGCAGCAGAGGGACCAAAACTAAGGAAATTCTTATCAATCACCTCTGAGTCATTTATGTCAGAATAGAAGATAATTTATCCTTTTAGGGATGGTTTAATATTTTGTTGTCATTTTGTTGGAGCTGACAACATATCCAATATCTTTTGCTGTGTAGTAACATCAGCAATGTTTAAATGTTAAAATCTATAGCAATGATTGTAAATGTGAGATGTTTTCTGCTGCACACAGACAATCTCTGAAGTCCTGGTTCATAAAATTATTTTTTAAGAAAAAAAAGTATCTTTAGGAAAAAATAAATGCAGACTTAAAGGCTTGAGCTACCTACTCATGATGAAAGTTGATGTAATGTTTTAGCCATAGAATATCACTCATCCTCATTAGTGCTTAAGTCAGAGCTCTGTCCATGAAGCTGATCTACTTAAACCATTGGGAAGGTGAAAGTGAAGGTCAACATGAATGGTTAATCTATGAATATGAAATTATTTTGTCTTTTGTATAAAACAGGGCTGGTGCTCTGTGAATTGGGTGCAACTCTGACTGCCACCCCCCTCGACCCAGAATTGGATTAAGGGGAAGAAAATGGATGTTGTAATAGAAAAATAATGTTGTTGCATGGTGGGCGACAGTAGCTCAGTTGGTAGAGCATTGGCCTTAAGCCCAGAAGGTCGTGGGTTCAATTCCCACCTCTGCACCTTCTCCACCGACTCCCACTGATGACTGCTGTCGTTGTGTCCTTGGGCAAGAAACTTAACCCCACTTTGCCCAAAACCCCCACTGAAAGATCAAGGCTATGCTCACACTCAGAGAGCAGCCGTCCTCCTGTGGACTCACCACCTGCAGAGGGTCAGTGAGGGGCTGGTGCTATGAGACTTGGGTGGCATCTCTGATTGCCACCCCCCTGACCCAGAAATGGATTAAAAAGGGTAGAAAATGGATGGATGGATGGATGTTGTTGCATGTACCTTCTATCTTCTCCACTCTTTTGACATGCGTTTCTGTGGCAGCGGCCGAGGTGCCACATCCCATAATGAGCCAAAAGTCTTTACTCTTGTAGATAACATGAGACCTATAAGACGGGACCTATGGAAAAAGGGAACAAGATAAAAAAATGGATAAACATAATAATGATTTCAGTGGTTTTACAAGTACAAGTTCACACCAGGCAAGTCCAAACTAAGGCCAGAGGCAAATGACGGCCTGCTGTGTCATTGTCTGTGGCCCTCTGCTTTGCTAACCCAAAATGAGCCATTGCAATCATGAACATGTGGAGTGCCACTTCTATTCAACCTTTACATGCTGCTGTTGTCAGTTAATACCATGGATCTACAGCTTTCATATAGGTCAGACTTTGTGAGGATTTCACTGTCCCTGGTCATTGTTAAATCAATCAGTTTTCTTTAAATCCAGACTTTAGTTTACCAAACTATGGTTGTTTCCCTCCTGCTCTAGCCCCGCTCTGATCAGCAGCTCGCTGATTGGTCAGAACGTGTCCTCACACGTGTCCTCGTTGATATTTGGCATGGATCTATTACAATATTGTATTTGGCACAAAGCATCATGGAGCTCGTCCACTGCGCAGAACCGGGAGGATGAGAGAAATGCCCAAATATGGGCAAGTTAAGCTATTCTTTCTGCGCTCATTGGCCTTTCATGCTCTTGAGCACAAGCCATTGATTTGTATATGCCGCCATCTTTGTTCGCCTTGGCTCGGTTAATGCACACAGATCTATGTCTCACTGACTGCAGGAGAACATGGACCAGTGGACTCACTCCTTCACTGTATCCAACAGATCAGTGAGTGGATACAAAATAACTTCCTTCAGCTAAACACAGAGAAACCAAATGTATTGTCTTTGTTCCCCAGAAACAAAGAGAGAGCGTCATTTGTCACCTACAGTCTCTCTTTCTAAAAACTGTCAAATCAGAAATCCATGGGTAATAATGGACACAAAATTAATTTTAACAGCAACATAAAATTAGTAACATCAGCAGCTTTAATCATCTAAAAACACATCGCCAGAATAAAAAATATTGTAAAGCAGACTTGCTCACAGGTCTCTCCAAACGGGCTGTAAAACAGCAGTATAATCAAAGCACTGCAGCTCGAGTCCTGACTAGAACCAGGAAGTATGACCACATTAGTCCAGTCCTCAGGTCTCTGCACTGGCTTCCTGTGGCTCAGAGAATAGCTCTGAATAGCTCCATGGCTTTTATCTGTGACTTGTTAGTGCCAAGTGAATCAACTAGAACACTGAGGAGCACAGACTGCCATGCTGGAGTTTTCCTGAAAATGTGAGACAGGCATCTGTATGATTGTTTTGTTTTGCACTTTGAGTTGTCTTGTGTATGAACTGTGCTATACAAATAAACTTGCTTTGCCTTGCCCATGTGACTCATTTATACACAAAGCTCAGAACAGCCCAAATCCAGTCAAAACAGTTTTACAACTGTCAAACTACCAGGCTTGTCAAACTCTGGACAAGTCTGGTTAACAAAAGTAGCCCTCTTACTGAAAAGTTTGGACAACCCTGCTTCACACACTTCCATATGCAGTCTTAAAGGGAGCACATCACCCCTGTTTTAGTGTCCCTCCACTGGCCTCTGTGCGTTTAGAATTGATTTTAAGATTTTACTGATTACTTTTAAAGCTTGTTTAGATCTGGCACCAATCTATACACATTAACCCTCAGATCCTCGGGCAGGTCCCTGACTGTTCCACGGTGGAGGCACCGGACGAAAGGTGACCAATAAGCCTTCTCTGTCCGGGCTCCTCGGCTTTGACCGGCCAGAGGAGATAAGACTAGAACCATCAGTATCCTATTTAAAATCACTTCTTAAAACCCACTTTTGTCAAACAGCTTTTAACTGTTAAAATTAAACGATTTTTATTTATTTTACTGTTCCATTCTTTGTGGTGTCTTTCTTCTTGCGTTTGCTCTGTCTGCTTTGTCTTCCTGTATCTACTATTTTAATTATTTTGACTTTGTATTAGCATGACCGTTTTTATTGTTTATTATGCTGACTGTGCAGCGCTTCATACATTGTTTTTGAAAAGTATACATACATAAAGCATAAATACAAATAAAGATTTATAATTATCACCAGGCAAATAACAGGTCATATCTGCAAAGAATAGAGCTGACCCATCCTAAAGCAGTGATACAAGAGTACACAAGTAACTTCAAAGCAAAAACATGACATCCAGTGGATAGTACTGTCAAAAAAGTTGGGCGATGCACGGAGGAAAAAAAAACAGAACATTGTTGATTTAACTTCTAACCAATCATCTCAAGATAAACGTGTTTAACTTAGTTTTATTACATCCCTGCTGTGCCTTACCTCTCACGGACGTCTCCAGATTCAGGATCTCCATTAGAAAAGACTGTTGTGATCGGAGGACGACAGACAGGTGCGCTCTGCTCCAAACCCCGTGATGAGTCCTCAGATCCCGGAGGAGAGGAGCGGGGAGGCGGGCTGAACTTTAACCATTTACCTGCTACACTTTAGTGTGTGTTGCTTGAATCGCGCTTTAAATGGCACTAGGTTTAAGAATGTCTCAATATGAAAAGGCTCATTCAAACTTCGGCTAGGTTTATAAACATGTGAGTGATGTTTCACGACGAGAACATGTTGATATCGTCTCACCGCTAGATGGCGCCAAACGTTTGAACTGCCAGTGGTTAAATGGCAAGTCGGGGTCGAGACCATAGAGCCATTTCATAGACCCATTTAACTAGCTGGGAATTACTGTAATTGCTTGCTTAGGCAGTTCCTTGATTCCAGAGGCTTTGACACATGTTCTTAACCCTTTAACTTTGTAACACTGAATACTTAGAATTAATCATTTTATATACTGCATCAGATCTCTGAAAAGACACCTTTGACATCACATGACAAAAGAATCAACAACTTTGGCAATAACTACAGCAAAAGATTACAAGGACAACAAAAAAGTTTCTAAAAACCATTTATTATTTGACTTAAAATCTGTTAAAATACAAGACATTAGGAATCTCATGCTGCTGGTCGAGCTCTAATCTTCCGCCTGACGACTCGAACGGCCTCCTGGACTTCTTTCTGAGTGACGGTTTGGCGGCGGTTTCTTCTGGAGAGTCTGGAAGCCTCAGTGCTTACCAGCCGGAGCAGGACCAGCCTGGGGACAATGCCCTGGGACCTGCGGACTCCGCCCTGGGACCATCTGCCCAGGAAGTCTGAGGTCCTTGTTCCACCAGCTCCCACCTGAGGACAAAGATTATATTTAGGGCACAGTGAAATCCAGAAACACTAAGCTCAAGAGAAGTATCAATTGAAATGTTAACTGTACAAGCAGTAATTTGGGCCAACCCTACAGCCAAAGTCAATTCCGTATTAAGTCTTTTTCATTGACCTTTTATTACCAAAAAGCTCCAGGATTAGTAAAGTAACACATCTTATGTCACCATGAATTCAAAGGCAGCCAGGTCTTTTGTGGAAAATAGAAATCAATGAAACTCTCCTGCAAAAAGAGTTTCATTGATTTCAGTTTCAGTGTATGTCTCCTACCAGGACATACACAGGTATATACACGCACACACACTCAAGAGCAATCCATAAATAAATAAATAGTTGTCAAATTAAAGCTAGGAAGTTTTTTTTTTTTTTTTTTTTTTTAAACAATACTTTGTTGGTGAACAGCCACATGGATTATTGATGACCCCAAACTCCCCTCATCCCCAGAATTAAAATAACAAAGTCCATGTATGTTTAGAGTTTGATATTTTAGTCTTTTTCTGACCTCTTTGTGAGCTTTGTACATGGACACAGCATGGTTCCTTCTCCTCGTCCTGACGCTCTGCTGCTGAAGACGTCTGGGTGATTTTTGAACTGGAGTCTTCATTTTCAGGTCAAAGTCTGTGGAGATGTTCTCACACTCAGGGAGCCGAGGAGAGCAGAGGGGCCGGGCTTTTACATGGACACAAATTGGCTCCAGCTTTGTCTAATTAGTCGCTGCATTCTCAAGGGCTTGTTCAGACTTCTGTGCAAGAATATAGCCACAAAATGTTATTTGTAAACCTGTGGCTACAGCAAACACACCTATGCAATCAAGACAAAAATAAAAATGTTAACAAAGAATATGCAATAAAAAATAAAACATATATTAGTTCAATTATAAAACGAAAGGACAAATAAACCTGTTTTCTCTTCCTGATCAAATGTTATTCCTTTATTTTATTACAATTGGACCTTGGTTCCAGTTACTGGTTCCCAGTTAAAGCTGAGGTACCTAAACTTAATTTTTCCATTGATGTTTGATACCATGTCCCAACAGAAAAAACCATATAAGTAAAATGCTGTGCGAATCAGATCACAAAATGCTGTCATCATCGTACTATAAAACATGTTTTCTTTTGCACGATTGTAAGAAATAACACTCTTTGACTCTTTCAGCGGCGAGAGAACAGTCCTCCCCTTTTTTCCTGAAAAATTTGATCTAATGTTGTGAAATAGGATGTAAAAACTAGGGACAGAACTGTTTTGAGCCAGGGACCAATGACATGGCTTTGACTACATGGTTTAGTTTTTGTGGTTTAAAGTTAAGTACCTCAGCTTTAACAACAATACTGGACTTCTTAACATTGAAGAATGCTCTTTTCTCCCTCTGTAATGATCTTGAAAACTGTGCAGATAATTAGTGAAAAACAAAACTAATTCACTAAAAACAGTTGCCAATAAAGAGTATATCTATAGTGGACACCAGACTTTTGGTGGTTCCTAAAGTGTCAAAAAGCACAGTAGGAGGCAGAGAATTTAGATACCAATCTTTTATCCTGAAGAATCATAGAATTAAAAAAAAAAATCAAATTATCTCCCACTCCACATGAAGGAAGCTGCCACACTCTAAAATTAGGATATTAGGTCGTAAAGACTCAGGTAAGACTTCAGCTGTAGTCTGTACATTGCTATTCACCCGCTGTTCCATTGTCTGTTTCATGGCGTGATCATGGGACCCCTGAACCCGACCTCCTATAATGTGTTGGCTTTGAAAAATCTTCCGAGAAAACTATACTGCTGTGATTAAGGGCAAAAATGAACTGAATTGTATTGAATTGGTACATCAGACTGTTTCATAATTAACATTGTTAGTTTGACTTACAACAGACTTAAAATATAACCAGAAAATAGAAATTAGTTTTACCTTTCTTCTGCAAATAGTGGAAATAGAGAAGGTCTGCCGTATTTTATTACGTCCCTATTGTTAAAATAGTCTCATCCACAATGGTTTTTACCCTGATCTGATATTGTATTATGTGTAAAAAATATATAATTAGTTCCCAATGTAGAAACTATCTCATTAAAAAGCTGTATCTGCTCTAAAACAGATCTCAGAAAACCCTCTATTTGGAGACGCACATGCAGTCTATAGGAGGACATGACCAGTGCTTTCGGATCTGAACAGAGTGACTGGTTGAATGAAAACTGTTTGAATTCATTATGCATGTAATTTTCAAATCAAAGCCATACAGTCTTATCGTCTAATCCCTAGAACCGACTCCTATACATCCAACATTTCCCATTTCCTCCCTCATTAAGTAGAGTATTTAGCCTATGCCCTTGACAATCGTATCGGTATTTCCCCCAGTCTTGGTGGAGCATGGCGGTACGTGGTGGTGGTTGGTGGATGAACAGCTGTAGGAGGAGCTTTGTCAGATAAGGCATTAGGTAAGGCCATTAGCGTCCTATGGATTATTCTAATCCAGTCTCTCCATTACGGCTGCCTTGGTTGTTTGCCTAGTTCCCTTTGACTGGTTTGGTGCTGGTTTGGTTCAAGATGGCTCTCCAGTTTCAGCAACTCCTCTTGGGCTTTCTCCTCTCTGTAAATGGTAAGGTTTTCTGAGCTGATATTTACATTACTGACAATAGCTGTGTTTTTTGAGTTGTTCTAATGTGCATTGTCTCTTTGTGGTTCTTGCAAAATGGATGCACTCTGGACAGTGGTCAACATCCAGGCTCAGGAGGTATGAGCAGCTCAATTTCCATTCACACATTTGACTTGTTTCGTCAAAATGGCTTCACATGGAATTAAGTTGAATGTTTTTTGATAGATTTGATGAAAGATGGGAACAATATAATGTAATATTATTGTTCAATTTTAAAAAGATTCTCTTCATCTATTGTTTGGCTGTAAGGCAGATGGGAAATGGGTTGCATGTTCTCCTTTAATACTGAGTCTACAGTGATAGAATACACTACGTAAAATATTTAAATAAGTTTTGTGACAGCATTCCTGAACTACAAGGTCAACAGGATTTCTTCACTTTACAGCTGCACAAACCCAAACTATTTGTCAGAAAATATAGAAATTTTAATTTTTCATTTGGAATTATTATTTTTTTATTCCTGAAAAAACACATATTTTAGCCGCCAACAAACCACATATTATTTTTTTCAAATATTTCTGTCAAACTAGATCATTTATACACCTTTTTCCATTTTTTTGTGCACATCTAAACATACAAAATGTTCAAACCTCTTCAGGCTAAATGTGAAATAGTTTGTTGACATTTCTTCTAGTATTAATCCGCTGTTGTTCTTTCATTTAACAAATTACTAACATCACATTCCTGTTGCGACCAACCACTACAGAGCCAATATCGAGCTTGTAACAAAAGATGTAGTGACACAGATGGAGCTGTCCTGTACATTTGGTGTAACTGGAGCGACAGCCTGGTTAATCCTGTGGTTGTGTTTTGCGACAGCAGACAGGTCAGTCTGAAGCGTGGACCAGCAGATCCTGCAAATGTGACTGCGAGGGAGAAGGTCCCACTGAAGGCTCCTCCTTCAGCTCCGCGATGGTGCGAGGGGTGGACTGCATGCCAGGTACTAATTATACCATCTATCAACCATGGTCATGTGAGCAGGGCGGACACACAGGGCTGCTTACATGACACAATGAGCAACTACTAATACTGCTACTACTACTGCTGCTGCTACTATACTACTACTATTTGATTCAATTACATTTTTTTCTTGTATAGCCCTAAAACACAACAGTAGATATCTCGGGGGACTTAAAAAAACCGTTGAATTCGCCAACACAGATCAGAGAATCAACCGTTCAAACACAAGAAATGCAAATATTTTAAAAACACATAGAGCCATTGGTCCATAAGGGGCAGACGACAATGACCGTAGATGTTGTTGCATGTTGAGTGTCCTAGGTCTGCTGACCCAGAAGGTCCTGGGTTCGAATCCTGGTGCATCCATGCAAACTCTGAGTGGAGTTTGCATGTTCTCCCCGTGTCTGCGTAGGTTTCCTCTGGGTGCTCCGGTTTCTCCTACCACTAAAAACATGCGCAATAGGTTTGAATGTAATGAGAGAGTGAATGGATGGTGTTGATTGGGAGCTGATGCGTCAGTGTGTTCGGCGACTCGCTTCTGTCATCATCGTGTGTGGAATGATTCAGATTCAGATTCAGATTACTTTATTGACCATTGTGCAAAACACATAGGAGTTTGACTTGGCAACATGACAGTGTGCATTCATCTTTATTACATAGTGCGAGATATAAATGAAATAGATATTGTAATAAAGTGTCATAGTGTTCAGTCCTTGTTCCTAGGGGGCAAGGGAAGAAGGGAAACCAGCGTCGGTGAGCAGCCCGGCCGCTGAGGGGAAAAAACTGTTTCCAAACAATATCTGAACTCTTAACATTGTAAAGCGCTTTGGGTGACCTTGATCTGTAAAATGCGCTATATAAATAAACATTACTTACTTACCAATGCTACAATTGCTGCAACTACCAGTACCACTTCTCCTGCTCTTGCTACTACTACTACTGCTGCTATAACTATGACTACCCAAACCAGCACTACTTCTACCTACACTCCCTTCTACTACTACTACTACTACTCCGACTACAACTACTACTACTACTACCATAGCTACAACTACTATACAATCGCCCCTACTGCTATCACTATAACTCCTACCTCATTTTTGTACTCTTAAAGATGGGATGCCAAATTTTTAAACCTTAGAAAAACAGAATGTAAAAAAATCCATCAAACCAGTTCCTCGCTCTCAAAACGCGTCTGTCTCTGGTTTTCACATGATCGTATTTTTGGCTTCTGTCACATCTTCAGACAGAAACGTGACTCAAAGTGCTTAACAAAACCAGAAATACACAGTTACACACAGCATTACAATCATCAATAATCCCAGTACATTAAAAAGAGTGAAGTTACAATCCATCAGTTGTATACAGAGCTGAACAAGACTATTTTAACCTGGACTTGAACAATGTCAGAGTAAAAGCCCATTTCACTTTTCACACGATGCCTTTAGGTTGGTTTTTTGTCAATCTTAAGTTTCTGTTGTGACTCACTAGCACAGGCATGTCAAAGTCTGTCAAATCTGGGCCGCAATATAATTCTTTGTCCCCCTGAAATGATTTTCAATGATCATTATCACGGTAACTTGCAGCAGTGATGGTAATGGGCTACTATTTTGTTGAGCTAGGCCAAAGACTTTTTTTAACGATCAACCTATAATTACTTATTTTAATTAGATGTATGTATGTATTATTATTATTATCATTTATTTATTTACTTATGAATGTAGATTTTTTTAAATGCATGCCTTATTGATATTATTCTGCTTCAACTTGTTTGCACTAAGGAACCTGATTTTGTATATTTGACACAGTTGTGATTGAATCCAAAAGAAAATAACATCCAAACACATGTTAAAAGAAAATTTCCAAACATTCAAAATAAAAAAATATGAGGATAAAAGATAATGACTTTTATCCTTCTGGCCTCAACTAGCTGTTATGTTTTTAGAATTGTTTTACACCCCTGCACCAGGACATCCCCTTTACACGTGTTGATAACACACAGTTACATCAGTGGCCATTTCTAAAGACGACCTCAACCATCTCAGAGAAAAGGAAAAACTGGCCGAGCTGCCTGCATGTGTTGGCAGCTCAGAGGACAGAACACGCTCCGCTGGGCTTTAGAAGGTGACACAGATGGCCACAACAGTTCAAGGACACGGACAAGGATTTTACAGCAAAATGATGAAAAGTCAGGACTATATTATACGACTAAAAGCATTGGAAAACAATGAACCAAATGGGAACAAACTCACAATAAAATTATAGACAATGGGTGATCCTTGTGCATTGATGATAACCTGTCTAATTAAACTTCAAAACATGGGGAGCCAGCATTTCAGATTTATGCAGCTAAAATCTGGAAGAGTCTTCCTGAAAATGTGAGACAGGCTTCTTCTCTGGCAATGTTCAAATCCAGGTTGAAGACAGTGCTGATTAGCTGTGCATTCAACATAGTGTCTTTAATGTACTGTGATTATTTAGGATTCCTTGTTGTTTCTGTCTGTTTTTGTTAAGCACTTTGAGTTACCTTGTGTAGGAACTGTGCAATACAAATAAACTTGCCAAATAAACTCAAATACCTTGAAGCGCCCACATTCATTTAATAGGGGGTATCTGGAGTCAAATATATTTGACTCTGGGAGCACAGTAGGAATATCACATCGTGTATTCCAAAGACAAGCTGATTTTGTCACAGGGGGTAAGATCCATCCATCCATTTTCTTCCCTTTAATCCATTTCTGGGTCTGGGGGACGGCAGTCAGAACACCAGCCGCTCACTGATCCTCCCGCGGGTGGTGAGTCCACAGGAGCTGTGATCTTTCAGTGGGGGCTTCAGGCAAAGTGGGGTTAAGTTTCTTGCCCAAGGACACAACAGCAGCAGATATCACTGGGAGTCGTGAAGTAGGTCTTGTGGTGGGTTCGTACCCACGACCTTCAGGCCCAAAGGCCAATACTCTGACAAATCAGCTACATGTGGTTCAAGTAGTTTGAAAATATTAATTTTCCTATGAAACATCAGATAATTTAGTCATGATTACAGAGACGGACGCGTCATAAGATCCACAGGAGGTCAAGAGGTTTTCAAATCTGATACAAAGGCAAAAAAAACTCTGATAATCACTGTCCTGTAAGAGCTGAAGCCTTGACTTAAAGTATTGGAAAAAACAGTATTATATATATATTATAACAACAAGTATTATATCATACAGTGTTGAGTCGTTCCTTGCTGTTGCAGGGGCGTCTAAGGACAATGATAAATGAAATACATTTATGGACATTTATTAACATTTATGGACATGGGTCATCCGCTCCCTATGGACCAATGGCTTCTACAGTATGTGTTTGTTATTATTGCATCTCCCGTGTTCAAACTGCTTGATTCTCTGATCTGAAGTGAATGCAAATGACACAGAGTCTTCAATGAAGCAGTTTAAGCCATTTTTTTCATTATGGGAAAAATTCTCGCAATTTCTTTAGCCTAAAATCATCAGAAAAGACCACATAATAACATACAAGTATTAGTCTATCAATCGTGTTGCTCTGATCTAATCCACATCTGCTATCCCTGACCTTTAAAGCTACTTCTTTGAATCATGGTTTAACTCATAGAAAAGCAAATGTACATCTGGTCGCACACACAGCGCTGGGTACATGTTATAATCTGCAGTTCTTATCTCCTGACTCACACACGATGAGCAACTCCGGATTAGAGCCGCTGACCCAGTGTCCCAGAGGCTTATGCCAGTAGTAAACAAAAGAGCAGCGCCGCACTTTCATAACGGGGAGGGAAATATAATGTGTGCATGTGCTGTCAGCAGGGCCGGCCTTACTCCATACAGGGACTGGGCAGATACAAGGGGCCCCAAGGTCACAGAGGGCCCCAAAGTCACAAAGGGCCCCAAGGAATACCCCTGCACGAATGAAGGAAATATGGTGCAATGCGTTGTTAATACAGTATTCTATATATGTATATGCATAGTTTTATTAGGACGCAGACACCAACAGACATGGGTAAAGAATATACTCATCACACAGACATTCAAGGTAAGTGTATTAGTATAGCACTGTTCATACACAAGCAAACTCAAAAAGCTTGAAAGAAAAACAAAATAAATATACATAAAAAATCACACAAAGCATAAAAAAATGATAAATATTTAGAGTCCATTAAAAAAGGGTGAAGATACAATTCTTCAGTTGTATGCACAACTAAACAGAATTGTTTTTAAACTGGTTTTGAACGTGGTCAGAGAAGAAGCCTGTCTCACATTTTCAGGAAGACTGTTCCAGATTTTAGCTGCATAAATCTGAAACGCTGCCTCTCCATGTTTCACTATATTTCTAGGCAAGGCAAGGCAAGTTTACTTAAAGCACAATTCATACACAAAGCAACTCAAAGTGCTGAACAAAACAAGATAGCATTAAAATCATAAATAATCACAGAACATTAAAAGGAAAGATAAAAATATAAAATCCCTCAGTTGTATGCACAGCTAAACAGAACTGTTTTCAACCTTGACTTAAACATTGTCAGAGAGGAGGCCTGTCTCACATCTTCAGGAAGATTGATCCAGACTTTAGCAGCATGAATCTGAAAAGCAGCCTCCCCATGTTTAGTTCTGACTCTGGGCACTAACAGGAGTCCAGTCCCTGTGCTCCTCAGAGTCCGGGCTGGTTCATATGGGACTAACATGTCACTAATATATTTTGGTGCCAGGCCATGGAGAGACTTTAAAGTCTATTCTCTGAGCCACAGGAAGCCAGTGCAGAGACCTGAGAACTGGACTAATGTGGTCGTACTTCCTGGTTCTAGTCAGGACTCGAGTTGCTGCATTTTGAATGTACTGCAGCTGTTTTACAGCCTGTTTGGACAGACCTGTGAGCAGGCCATTGCAGTAGTCTAACCTACTGGAGACAAATGCATGGATAAGAATCTCCAAGTGTGCTTTAGACACTATGTTTTTGATCCTGG